AATGGCAATGGTTATTAATTTATTTGTCCTAATAATATTAGTATTTACACGTAGATTTAGAGGTACTTTTATTTTTTATAATAGTAAATTTGGATGATTTAGATAACCAAAAGTTTTACTTTATATTATCTCTGTAGTGACATATATATGTTGGTAATTTAGATACAAATTTATGGGTATTTTGAATTATAGTTCTAAATGGCAAAGGTGCAATAAAATTATTTAGAGATACAAATGTTATTATTATTTTCTATATATTTAGTCAAATTTAAAAAAAAAATCTAACTCCGTGAGAAGTGGAACATACGTTTATTTTGGGATGGAAGGAGTAGATGATAGTTTATTAATAAAATACCAAGGGAACGGGGTTTATAAGACTCATCTGATATTTTATTAGTACATACTCCCTATGTCCTATAGTACAATGCATTTTAAGAATTTTAAGGTAAATTAAGAAAAAAAATATAAAAGACGCATGTATCCTTATTTTATTTCCTAATCAGACACTATCATCAATGTGGTTAATGGTGATTGGTTGATAAATGGAAAGTATTTAATGCAAAATTAGTTTTTATCCGCTAAAATGCATTATATTTGAGGATAAATTTTGAATACTAAAATACACTATATTACAGGATGGAGGGAGTATAGTTTTGTTAATACATATATTCTATTAACTAACTATGAACGTCGTTACTACATGTATGATATTTTAATAATTTACTGCCAAATGACGTGATTATATATAATAAGATCCAACTCATCAAATATTTTATTAACTAATTGTGAATGTCGATAATGTGATTTTTTAATACATATATTTTGTTTTATTAATATATATTTTTATTAACTAACTATGGAATAATGCTACCAAGTGACGTGAAGAATAGGACTCGTCCAATATTTTATACTAACTAATTAACTATGCACGTTAGTACTGCAATAAAGATTTTCTCCAAACCGTCAAAGTTTTATTTTCTCAAAAAAAAACATTTTTATCTATAATGGCAGAGGTGGGTAATTTCCTAGAAAACAAAATAGATCCAACGGTGATGGATGGCTAGAGTCTTTGATCCGGTGGTCCGATGTTTCTGATTAATGTGAGAATTTCTAGCATTTATTTTTTTTCTAACGCATCTAGTGAGGATTAATGTGGAGGTTCCATTGGGGCCTCTAATTAGTAATAGTAAGATATGTCTAATGATATATAGCCTATGTTTTTTTAATGACTATTGTTACATCATAGGGCATTTATGTTTCCCTTTACTTATATAAGCTCACTACATAGAAAAAGGTTTTTAGGGGCGGCTGGTATTGATTTGTAGGGGCGGTTTTGCCAGCCGCCCCTATGAAAAGGTGGCTAAAAATCACTGATTTGTAGGGGCGGTTCTCAGGTCGCCCCTACAAATCGATTTGTAGGGACGACTGGTGTTATCAGCCGACCCTACAAATCCGATTTGTAGGGGCGGCTGGATATTGAGCCGCCCCTACAAATCAATTTCCAGAAACGAAAAAGGGGCAAAAAAATAGTAATTTTTTTTAACCGAGGAGGTCCCCACCGGCAGCCACACACACCCTCACTCTATGGTTGCAACATTTTTTCACGATTTTTGCAAACTTTGCTTCGATCGGGATTCGAAGCAGCGACCTCTCTCTCGCACATCATCTCCTCTACCACTACACCTCACATTCACTTGTGTCCACAATCTATTTTGATTCCCCATGTATTATACAAAACTGAGCATAAATTGATTGTTTGAGGCCCTAAACTAATTCAAATGAAAAAGTTGTCAACTACAAAGTTTTATAACTTTTCGAGATCTACAACTTTTATTTTGGTAGTTTCTCCATCCGATATCACTTATAAAATTTGAATTTCAAATAATAGAAATTCGAACGTAGTTTTGCATGACAAGATGGTTTCAAATGAGAAAGTTATCAACTACAAAGTTTCATAACTTATCAAGATCTACAACTTTCATTTTTACTGTTTGTCCATCCGAGGTCGTTTAAAAATTCAAATTTCAAATTTTTAGAAATTCAAACGTAGTTTTTCTTGACAATATGATTTCAATTGAAAAAGTTGTCAACTACAAAGTTTCATAACTTTTCGAGATCTACAACTTTTATTTTGGTTATTTCTCCATCCGAGGTCATTTACAAAATTTAAATTTTAAATTTTAGAAATTCAAACGTAATTTTCCTTGAAAAGATGATTTCAAATTAAAAAGTTGTCAACTATAGAGTTTCATAACTTTCCGAGATCTATAACTTCTATTTTGATCATTTATTCATCAGATATAGTGGTAGTAATATTATTCATAAATGTCACATATCTCTCTTATTGTTTATGAAACTATAAGAGAGATATATAAATTTTGTGAACAATGTTATTACCACTTTATCGGATGAAGAAATGACCAAAATAAAACTTGTAGATCTTGATAAGTTCTACAACTTCTATGTTCATGATCTTCTCATCTGAAATCAATTAGTGTTCCAAAATAACGTTTGGCCTTCTCTATGTGCTCCTCTAGATATTGTTTCTCTTTTGCCCCTCTCTTTTTTTTCTATTTTTTTTGCTGTTGTTGTTTTTTTGGGAAATTTCGACTTTTTCTTTTTATTATTTTGATATTTTTTCTTCACTTAGGAGCACAAAAGAAGTAACCACAGAAAATATGAGCTCAAACAAGTGAAAGAAGTGGCATGTGGAAATTTCAGAAGACGTGCTCAAAATCGACAAAAAGCTTGTGACCATGAAAAGATGATCTTGTGACCACTTTTTGACCAATCTAAAATTTTTGAACCCCGGCAAAGCCGGGGATGGACGGATCCGAAATTTTTTTCTGATCGATTTGCATATATGGAACGTCGAAAACGGAGTTCGTATGCAAAAACTAGGCCAGTTTTAAGAATTGGCTCCGAATTAGAGGACAAAATGAGAACAATAATTTCAAACAGTATTTTCAAGTACTAAATGATCTCAACTGAAAAAGCTGTCAACTACAAAGTTTCATAACTTTTCGAGATCTACAACTTTCATTTTGATTGTTTCTTCATCCGAAGTTGTTTAAAAATTTTGAATTTTAGTGCTTACTTTTTAATATTCGGCGTCCATTTGTAGAGGCACTTCATTTTTGAGCCGCCCCTATAAATCAATTTGTAGGGGCGGCTGGATATTGAGCCACCCCTACAAATCAATTTATAGGGGTGGCTGGATATTGAGCCACCCCTACAAATCGGGTCATTTGTACGCCTCTACAAATTGATTTGTAAGGGCGCCTCATTTGACAACCATTTATAGGGGCGGCTCTATCACCAGCCGCCCCTACAAAAAAAATCGTCCCGTTACTAAAAAAAACATTTTTTACGTAGGGGATGGCTTATGGCTTATGGAAAAACATCTCCCTAGATGCTCAAGAAATAAGCTAAGCAGAAACGTCTTATATAAGCTGGGCTAGTAATCGATAAGCTTAGTTTAAATAAGTCAAGGATCAAACGAACAAGCCCTTAATATGACTATTGATACTATTTATAACTCATATTTTTAATATGACTTACAATGTACTCTATTGTTGTTTATATGTATATATATATAGTGAGTATACACGTATTTCAACAAGTGGTTTTGTTGTCCTAAAATTATTGGTAACAATGCTTATTTTGTTTTTATAAAATACACGTGGTGTTAGAAATGTGTCAAATATTTATTTTTACTAATTGAAGTTATAGTGAATTTGTGTTGTAATTAGCAGTAGAGGGTTAGGTAAGCTAGATATTGGGGCTCTTGTAAGCTGGCCTTTCTATAAAAAGAGGAGGAGGCTAAACTTGTAACCCATCACTTGGGAGAAGCAACACAAAGTGATAGGCTTGTGGGGGTGCTGACGCCCGAGCGGCGGGTGTGGCTGTTTCGGGAAGGAGCGCCCGTAAGCATGCCCCAGGATGTATGTTTTGGCCGAACATCGTTACCAAATAACGAGTCTCTTTGTGTGTGTTATGCGATCTCCCATGAGCATCTCGCCTAGAGAGATTCAAGCAATCGCTTCTGTTTTAGGCACCGATACCACAACAAATGATAACGTGAATAGACAATTAAACCAACTACGTATCTAATTGCGAAGAAATTGATTTCGAACTATCCAATCATATCTATATCTAAAGATATATTCGAATCTGTATCCTAACACTACGTGAAAAACGGTTTGTAGCAACGAGACAATTTTTTTTAGGGGCGGTTGGTGATGGAGCCGCCCCTACAGTGACGTGCTCGAGAGCTCAGACACCAACCGCCCCTACAAATGGAAGAGCAGGGGCGGCTGGTGATACGAGCCGCCCCTACAAATATGTCTGATTTGTAGGGACGGCTCACTCACCAACCGCCCCCGAAATTGCTATTTGTAGGGCGGCTACATATACCCGCCGCATATATACCTGTTGAAGAGAAAAATATCTCCCCCATCCTCTCGACCTCAGCCCGAGACGCCGCCTCCGGCTTTTCCCTCGCGTCGCTCTCTCCCATGGCGTCCGCCGCGCCACCCTCTGCCGTCGCCTCCACCGCGCACCGACGTCGACACCGCCGAGCGCCGCCTCCGCCTCTCTCCTCCCGCGGAGCTTTACCTCGGCTCGGGCGGCCGGGCCTCGGCGCGCCGCCACGTCGACCTAGGGTTTCGGCGGAACCGCCTTTGGCCTGGCTCAGCAACAGACCAGCGGGTGGCTCTGCTTTCGAGGAGGTGGAGTGCCGAGGAGGTGAGTTCATCTGTAGATCGATCTCGTCTCCTCAGCTCCCCTCTCCCTTTCGGCCTTTCCCTTCTCCTCCGCATCTTTTTTGTTAGGGTTCGGCGCCGCCCATGGGCGTGGCCTTCCTTCGCCCGTCGTGCCGTGCCTCGCCGACCTCGACCTCTCCAATGGGGTCGAACTGGGGACGCCGCCCCTGACCGAGGTCAGCCCAGGCGAAGGGCCCTCGGAGGCTCTCACTGGCAAGGTGGAAGCCGCTCTCCGACATGGGCGTCGGGGGTGCGTCGGCGTTGGGTGCGCTGGAGCTGAGGGAGCTCTCGCTCAAGTGGTGCCTTGGGGTCTCGGATCTGGGGATCCAGCTCCTGGCCCTCAAGTGCCGGAAGCTCACCAGACTGGATCTCTCCTACACCATGGTGAGCGCTGAGAGTTTCTCTGTTTGTTTCTTGACAAAAGGCGACGGATGATTCTGTCTTTTGTTTCCGTCTTGTACGTTTCTTGATTTGATTTCTTTAATTCACCAGAGAGAAATGGGTTTCAGTTATTTCCTTTGCTAGAAATCTACCTTCATCAGTTACTAGTACATCATTTGCTCAATCTAATTTATTCAGTTAGTGCTTAGGTCATTGGGCCACTTTAGTGTATAGGTAGTATAGTATTCTCGATCTGCAGGCGTTCTTATCTATAAACATGGCAAATCATCTTTGCAACAATGGATCAGCAGAGCGGTACTAGTAGCCGACTAGTTTCTCTTGCAGCTTTGTGCCTAGTGCCTTCCGGCCCACTTATCATATTGTGCTGGAGTAATAATAAAATGGAAACGTATCTTGTGTTGCAGATCACAAAGGATAGTTTTCCTGCCATCATGAAGCTACCCAATCTTCAACAGTTGACACTGGTGGGGTGTATTGGAATTGATGATGATGCTCTTGGTAGTCTTGACAAAGAATGCAGTAAATCACTACAGGTGAGGTGCTCATGGTAATTTGCCATTTTTATTGACTTGCTTGTTACTAGCAATCACACATCAGCTTCGTTTCAAACACTATAGTGGTATTATTTCTCTTGATCTTACACTGTTAGGTTCTGAACTCTGTAGATGCCTTGTCTAAACTAGTCACTGGTACTAAAAATATGTATTTTTGATAATTAAAAAAAACAGTGTTCATAGAGCTCTGCTTATTACTGAACTCACATGCTTGCACCATTGCAGGTGCTTGATATGTCTCAGTGTCAGAATATCACTTACGTGGGAGTTTCATCCATGCTGAAGTCGGTACCTAATCTATTGGAACTGGATCTTTCATACTGCTGTCCTGTAAGTAGCTAATCATCTACTCGTATTATTGTATCACCTGGGCGTAACTTGAGCCCTCACAGCTTAATTTACATTCTTCATGTATCAGGTTACTCCTTCTATGGTGAGAAGCTTACAAAAGATTCCTAAACTGCGGACCCTGAAGCTGGAAGGCTGCAAATTCATGACTGATGGACTAAAAGCTATTGGAACCTCTTGTGTTTCTTTAAGGGAGTTAAGCTTGAGCAAGTGCTCTGGAGTGACGGATACAGAACTCAATGTTTTGAATCTGCTATTTTTCTTTCTATTGCATATAGGGAGCAACAGATGATAAGAGTGCAACATTGAGTTATCTTTTACTTTTTGTTTGTTTGGTATCATATGCATTTTCATTATGTTGTTTGTTATCTTTTACCCTAACAAGAAAAAAAAGATGCGGCGCCTTTCCCTACACAAACATGTTAGAAAAATTACTGTGCTGCAGTTGTTCTTAAGTTCATCCAAACCTGTTCTCAGATTCGCAGTTGTTCGCACACTTAACAAGGTTGGTCTGCTGCTCTGCTTATTTCTTTACACTAACTGTTTTTGTCGCAGAACTATAATAATTAATAACACAGCAATATTAGTTGCATCCTGTTCTCAATACTTATTTTGGTTTGTGATGGAGTTTGTATTTTCCATGAATGGCACCTGTTCAGTCATGTTACATATGCTTTGTGCTTGAACAACTATTTCATTGAATTCTTGCGCTAAATTCAATGAAATATATGTGCATGAAATAGTTGTTCAAACATAGAGCCAAGAATTCGGAGTTTATACATTACACAAGTGATAGTGTGATGGAGTTGTGCATGAAAAATATATGTTCTGGTCGAATTTGAATTGTAAATTTAATTTTTTTTTGCGGAAAAATGATTTGTAGGGGCGGCTGGTACTGTAGCCGCCCCTACAAATTGATTTGTAGGGACGGCTGGTGTTCCCAGACCGCCCCTATAAATCGATTTGTAGGGGCGGCTACAGTACCAACCGCCCCTACAAATTGATTTGTAGGGGCGGTTGGTACTGTAGCCGCTCCTATAAATCGATTTGTAGGGGCGGTCTGGGAACCGCCCCTACAAATACATGATTTGTAGAGACCCTTGCATAAGGGCGGCTGGGCAAACCGCCCTACAAACGGTCCCGCCCCTACAAAAAAACCTTTTTTACGTAGTGTAGCTTGCCTGACAAACAAAAAAGGAAAAAACGTTTCGTGAGACTGGAGGCAAAGGAGAGGGGGCGTTACGTACAGCATGATGACCACTCTATTGCGAGTCACCGGAGGTAACTGGGCACGCCAGTCGCCTCCCTCTTGGGCGCCGCCGGCGGCAGAGTCTGTCTCCTGGAGCTGCGCGCGCCCGTCGCCACCGCTGTCGTCCATGCTGCTAGCTGTCTGCCCTCTCGAGATACAGTCGTTTCGCCGAGTGGGCACTCGGCAATGGCCCAAAAACACTAGGCAACTGCTTTATCGAGTGTAACACTCGACATACAACACACGGCATCTTTTTGTCGGTTTGCCGAGTGTCGGAAAAGCACTCGGCAAAGATTTACACTCGGCAAAATGAAAATGCGAAAAAAAACCCAAAAATAATAGCAAAATTTTTCAAAAAAAAAAATTCAGGGAGGCCGCCACCCGTCCGTCTACATCGAAGTCGGTGTATTTTTTGCGCTAAATTCGTGGCTAACGCAGCTGGTGGGATTCGAACTCACAACCTCTCCCTGCACTACACTATCACTTGTGTCTAGATTCCGTTATCTATCCTCATATATTATACTAAACCGAGAGTAAATTGCTTGTTTGAGGCCCTAAATGAATTCAAATAAAAAAGTGGTCAACTACAAAGTTTCATAACTTTTCGAGATCTACAATTTTCATTTAGGAAGTTTTTCCATCCAAGGACGTTTGAAAAATTCGAATTTCAAATTTGAGAGATTCAAACGTAGTTTTGCATGATAAGATGATTTCAAATTAAAAAGTTGTCAACTACATAGTTTCATAACTTTTGGAGATCTACAATTTTCATTTATGAAGTTTTTTCATCCGAGGTCTTTTAAAAAATTCAAATTTTAAAATTTTCAAATTCAAACGTCGTTTTTGCATGACAAGATGATTTCAAATCAAAATGTTGCCAACTACAAAATTTCATAACTTCTCAAGATCTACAGAGTTTATTTTGGTCATTTGTTCATCCGACATAGTGGTAGTAACATTGTTCACAAATCTTATATATCTCTCTTCTACTTTCATGAAACTAAATATGAGAGATGAGAGATGTAGATTTTATGAACAACGTTATTGTCGCTTTGTCAAATGAAGAAATGACCAAAATAAACTTTGTAGTTGAAAAGTTTTTCATTTAAATTCATTTAGGGCCTCAAAAATTGCTTTGAAAAACTGATTTGCCGAGGGCAAAAAAAAAAATGCACACGGCAAAATGCCTCTTTGCCGAGTGCCAAAACAAAGGCACTCGGCAAAATACATCTTTACTGAGTGCCAGAAAAAAGGCACTCGGCAAAGACGCATTTTGCCGTGTGCCGAAAAATAGCACTCGGCAAAATACATATTTGCCGAGTGCCAGAAAAAAGGCACTCGGCAAAGACGCATTTTGTCGAGTGTTTTTTTTTTGCCGAGTGTATTTTATTTGGCACTCGGCAAAGACCGTCTTTGCTGAGTGTCCGATAAAATACACTCGGCAAAGCCTCCGACACTCGGCAAAGTGCCGGCTTCCGGTAGTGAGCTCCTTGTGTGGATTCCATCATTCGGTTTTAACCTGAGGAAGGCCGGAGGAATCGAGGTGAATCCTAAATGTGAGTGGGACCCACAAGGCCAGGTAAAAAATAGTACCTACTTTTCATTCGCCTCGATTCGAACGAAACAAATGCGCGTGGCCGGCTAGGCCACGTCTCGATCTCGATGAAAACGGATCGGATACGGACGAATATCACCGATATTACATTTGTTTTCATATTTATGTCCGGATTTGGATTCGAATATGGATAGTGTCAACTATGTCGGATAGGATATGATTGGATATCGACATCATAAATATGCGATTTGAGTATTCGGATACGGATACGGTATCGGATGTTGGATATCGGACTCGGATACGGACAGATCTCAACCCCTCTAAACGGATTCGGTTTTGAATACGGTCGGAAAATATCCGTATCATTTTCATCCCTAAACCTTACCCAGCTAAGCAATCGACATGAACATGAACAAGAACAAGAACAAGAAAAAGCATAGAATTTCTTTATATCTTATCAAGAACAAATGATGTGTACAGGTTGCATCGCCAGAGGCGTGTGGATTTCATTGACAGATGACAGGCATCTTGAAAATTGCATGACTCTGCCTGTGGTCTACATCAGTGGGTAATGATTGCAAAATAACATGAAAAGAGTAACTGTACAGGTTTGAAGAATTTGAGACTCAGGTACTAGTACTACATCAGTGGGCAATGATTGCAAAATAACAATGCAAAAATGATATCAAGACATGTCTGACATCTTGATTACTATTGCTATCGATCTCTGCTATGGAGGTTTTGGCCGGAACACGCAGTTCGTCTATCGTTTTGATGTTTTCATGGTTCAGTTCTTCTGTGTGGACTGAACTGAAGAGGAAAGGATGGTATGTATTGACAGCAGCTGACACTTCTAGATGACAAATGATCCTTATTATCGCTCTTCCAGATGACGCATTTCTTCATCTGGGTATAGCTTCCAGTAGCAACAACATTTGTGTTTTGCTCTGTTTCAGAAAATCTGAAGATACACAGACAGGGCATCAGGGCAAGACGTACACTGAATGAGAAGATGAGATTATTGCAGACTGACAACATACTGAATTGCGTTTGTTAAATTCGTAACCTGAAAGAATGTGAAGTAAGTGCCACGGGGGCACGACGTATGTGGTCCTAGTCGTCCTTCCTAACCTGTTGAAGGCTCGAGGCTTGGATCTGTTGCGCCGGCATCAGCGCCTGCTGTGACCCTGGAACTTTGCACTCCTGATGAACCAAAAGGTAAGCTATGTATGCAAACAGGTCATCAGAAGACTCGAGCGGTAAATCAGTGCCCGAGAGTGAGAGTTGGTCAGCTAGTAGTAACTCTGAATGTGTTGAGCCCATGAGGAAAGGAAAATTCAACATACCTATTTCGCACACAGAATGCAAATGCATTTTCACCTGAATTCAACAGCTAGTGATCCGATAAAGAGGACCAACAATTGCATACTAGCTAGCGGTTCCCAATGAAAAGGTGCTAGCTAGATCATTGTTATGTGTTAATAAGATAAGATGAGAAAGAGTTAAGTCAGTAATGTGTTTCGAACCCTGCAGTGACACATGAAAAAATCACAGATACACACATCATTAGGAAACATTAATTAGCAGAGGAGGTGTGCATGCAAACCGCGTGTGTACTGTACCATATATATACCAAGGCATACTCCCTGAACAATCGCTAAGCACATCCATCGCACGAGAGAAACAGGAACGGCACAATACATGATCTTACCATAGGTGCCTGTATACAAATAACAGATGGCAAACACAAAAGTTCAATTCTCCAGGAAAGAGGAAAATTCATAAAACAGAGCATGCTGCACAATACAGAATTAAATTCTATGGAACATTCAGATTTCAATCTCTTACTGTCAGATAGTAACAATGGAATTCCAAAGATCCTGTACACAGATCTGTTGTACCAGAAATAGAATCCAGGTCCCGATTTGAATCATAGGAAGTACGTACTATGCTATTACCATGTCTCTACCATATGTATGTACAAAAGCATGGTAAAAGGACTTCAGTTGAGGACCTATTTGGAAGGTGGGAATTAAGTCCATGAGAAATTTGCAGGAATTTGGTACGAAATAATTTAATGAATCCACTCAAGAATCAGGAAGATTTCGACATGCTCCAAACGGTGCTAGAGCTTGTTTGTTTCTGCTAAATATCATAACGGAAGCAACTGCTTGAGAAGAGAACTAGCAGTTGTGAACAGGTGGCTGTACCTCTTGGAAAGAAGAATTGTCAGAGGCCCTGCTGAGATGCTTCACCCAGTTGAGCGTGGCGTCGACGTAGCTAACAAGGGGGAAGAGCTGGAGGTAGAAGCCGATCTCACCCTGCACCTCGCGGAGCTCGTCGGCGTGGCGCGCCCCCATGAAGCACCGGTACGCGTACCCGCGGCGCTGGCAGGAGCGCACGAGCAGGTACGCCCGCCGGAGCGTCTCCTCCAGCTCCTCTACGGGGGTCCGCGTCTCCGGGTGCTGCATCAGCTGCGTGTCCTGGTCCTGCAGCCGCCGCAGCAGGCCGCCGATCATCTCGACGCGGCGGGCCAGCTGCTGGCAGACGGCGCGGTTCCTCCGCACAGTCCGTGCAGCCTCCGCGATCATGGTGATGAGGCTGAACGCGTCCACGCCCACCAGCTGCGCCACCGTCGCCACCTGCCCGACCAGAGCCATCTTCCTTCGTTCTTGGCCTTGGTTTGCTTTGGACCTTTGGTGGTAGGAGTGAATGGGGAAGATGGCGGAGGGGACGAGGAGGGTGGTGTTGAGTCAGAGCAGAAAAAAGGTTGCAAGGGCCTTGGGCCTTGTTTAGATTGTAAATTTTTACAATCTGGACACTGCAGCACATTTTGTTTGTATTTGATAAACTTTGTTCGATCATGGACTAACTAGGCTTAAAAGATTCGTCTCGTGATTTACAATCAAACTGTGCAATTAGTTATTTTTTTTTACCTACATTTAATGCTCTATGCATGTGTCCAAAAATTGATGTGACGGAGAGAGAGTGAAAAAACTTGGAATTTTGAGGTGATCTAAACAAGGCCTTATTTAGATTGCAAGTTTTTTTACTCTCTATCCATCACATCAAATCTTTAGACACATGCATGGAGTATTAAATATAGATAAAAAAATAACTAATTACACAGTTTGATTGTAAATTACGATACGAATCTTTTGAGCCTAGTTAGGCCTTGATTAAACAATAATTATCAAATACAAATGAAAGTGCTACAGTGTCAAATACTAATTTCTAACCCCAATCTAAATAAGGCAAAGGTTTGGGATTGGGAGTGGCAGAGAAGTCAAACAGAGTGACCGGTGTGGAAGCAATAAAAAATGTTTCTTTAAAAAAAAAAAAAAACTGTGAGGCTGACATGGTTGAACAAAACTGTAGAGATGGCGCCAAAACGTGGAGGGGCGGTTTCCAGGAAGCTTCCAGCTTGTACACAGTATCAAAGCCAGCCTGCGAGACGTGGTGCATACTGAACTGTCAAGCTTTGAAAGATTCGAAGTTGGACTCATCATTTGTTTGGTTCCTCATCAGTAATCAGCCCTTGCCGCAGTCTACATCAATGCCAGCCTGCCTCAGCCTGATTTGTCCAGCGGGGAGGACGGGTGGCTGGTCGTTGTGTGACAATTTCAACATGCCCATGGAGTCAGTCACTTCATCTCGAGCTAGACCAAATTAACAACAGCATGGAGTAATTAGCATTCCAGCCAAGCATAATTTAGCCACAGCGCTGAAGTAAGGTGCCTTCTATGAAGCTCCTCATGGTCCTCTCAGCCAGCGGCGGATCTAGGAAATATTTTAGGGGGAACTGCACAACACTGCTGCTCGATCTTAAGTCTCAGCTCCCCTACACTATAAAACTTTGCCTAAAAATTCATTGAGGCTCTACAGTAATTTGCACTGCTTCAGTTTGGGTAGGGGGCTTGAGCCCCCAGCTGGATCCGCCCCTGCTCTCAGCTCAAGAATTCTTTTTTTTTTGAGAATCTCAGCTCAATTATTCAACAGGATTTCCCAGGTGCAGATCACCTAAGCGTTAATACTTCCCAGGTGCAAAGAGAAGCCACGAGGGACCTCTCACCAGTCACGAACTCTCTTAAGTTGAAATCAGTCACTCAACTCACCACTCTGCGCGTGCTGTGACCAACTTGCCAAATATTTTACTGTGGCTAATCGCTGTGATGTTTACACAATCATAATAACGTACATATTATATCTCCATACAAAGCCTAGGGCAGCCAAAGAAGACCTTAGTTGAGTAGCTCATCAGTTGACACTTTCAGGATTTGCAACTATCCCTTTATAGCTCTTATAAAGCTACAACCAGATTTAGTATTTCCAATACACTTGCCTATTATTTAGCATGTGCCCTCTGCGCCACGCCAAGCATGGTGACAACTTCTGACATGGTAGGCCGATGTTTGGCAAAATGGTGAACACATAACTGTGCCACCCTCACACATTCGAGAATCTGAGCCCATTCATGCTTGTTCACGCACAACAATGGATCAACAAGCTTGTGCAGCTTCTTTCGGTCGTACTTGTGCGCCTGACAAAAACATAGCGAATTCCATATTGTTAGCATTAGTGGTTTTGGATTAAAAGAAAACCATTCCTCAATGACATATAATGAAAGAGCCATATCCTTAAAGGAAATGGACAAAGGAGGTTATGCAGCTGGGAGGGAAAGGGACTACCAACTATTACAGCCCTGAGCACGGAAACAATACTACGTGCAAACAAATTCTCAGTCCATGGCTGCAATCTACTACAGCAAGGCCAATTGCTAACTTTTTTTCCATTTTCCCTTTACCTTTTTAGCATCCTGAATTGCTTAGCAACAGTATGAAATTGTACTGTTTTCTACACATCTACTTTAATGAAAAGGCACAGCACCTGTAATTCCATGCTAAAAAAATTTGGTTCATCATAGTTCTTTAAGTATACACAAGAAATCTCGTCGTCCAGAAAAAAAGGACTAGATAAAATTCATCTAGCTTGGTGTACAATCTGGCACATTTTATTGCCACAAAAGGGATCACCAATATCATTATAACACTGTGCTACAAATTAAGATAATATTGTAGACATGCCTTTTTAAATAAAAAAACAAATTCTTACATAAGCAGGGGGTGGTAGCTTTCGAGTGCCCTCTGCCTTCATATAAGACCGGATCAACCTTCCACTTATTATCTCAAAAAGTACTATACCAAAGCCATATACATCTGCCTTCTCCGAGATGTTTCCAGTAGCAACATATTCAGGATCTGCATAGCCACTAATGATGGAGAGGATTATCATGTGAATGCACGTGCCAAACACTTGAAAGCAAAAAATATGATGGTTGATTTTATAACTTGATTTCTGTATCGGACGAGCTCTTACTATGTGCCCATAACAACAACCTCTGCAGTCGTATTTGGAGTCAACATTAATGCCAGACCAAAATCTGTAATCTTAGCATTCATTTCATGGTCCAGCAGGATGTTGCTTGCTTTTATGTCCCTGTGGACAATGCACATCTGAGAATGCCCATGTAGAAAAGCAAGACCATCTGCTATTGCTTTTATTATTTGAAGACGTTTGGACCAATTTAGCAACTCCCTTTTTGTTTCATCTACAAAAACCATCAATGCATTTGTAGCAGAAATATTTGAGTAAGTACTTCCTGAACATGAACAGAAATGATGAAAGAGGCATTGAGTCAACAAAAACTTGCCAGCAATGATAGATGCCACGCATTTATTTGGCATATATTCATAGACAAGTATGTTTTCTTCTCCTTGAACACAATACCCAAGTAGATCAATTATGTTCTTGTGTCGAAGATTTGGAATGGCATTAATCTCAGTTCTGAACTCATCTGGACCTTGACATGAACATGCATCAAATCTTTTAATGGCAACGTTACGACCATTAATGAGATTGCCCTAACAAAATTAAGCGTCAATGTTAAAGAAGATATCTAAAGATGTACGAGGGAGCTTAAAGAAATTTCCAGGTGTCAGATAATCAAATTGCTGGTGAAAGTAACTGTTATCCCAATGGAGCAAATCTTTGGTTTAACCCTTTAACACCAAGCAAGGTGCTAGCTTGAGTAACCCATCCCAAGTGGAGAGTGCATTTCGAGATGTTCTTTTGATCTAGGTGCTATACTTAAGCAGTTCAAGAACATATATCATACTATAGGTTGTCTTGAGATAAAAATTACCTTGTAAACATAACCAAATCCACCATTTCCCACCAATTTTTTCTCTGAAAAGTTGTCTGTAGCAGCCAAAATCTGAGAGAAACTAAAACATGATAACTCTGCGCCTTTTCCACCACCAATGAGATTTACTAATCCTCCCATGTTCATGACTTGGCCTAATTCAAAAGAAACCCAACTTTGTCACTGATTATAATATATACTTGTATGAAAAGTTAATACAAAAAAAAAATGCAGGTATGGGACAGCTAGCGTCCACATAGTCAGACATGGCAGATACAGTACAAATGAACAGAGCAATCACGCAAAGCTTCTGTCTTGTAAATCAAATGTGCATATTTAATATAGTATTCATAGTGAACAACCAGAGAACTCATTATGTCAAGGCATTTTCATTAACTTCAATTTTTTTATTTCAATGAAATTTAACAGGGTAGAATTAGGAAAAGTCAGTGATTTCTTCATGCCCTTGGGGATAATTCATGCAAAGATTATCTCTAGAATTTATGATATATTATACCCTTGTATCAAAAAGAAAGGCATCGATATATATAACAAATACTGTGATGTGTATTTTTCAAATATTGAAACGAGCTGTATTCGTAAATGACATAGATGTACATGTACTTCATAGTAGGGACAATTACTCTAGTAACTCCAAATGGGTGTCGGCATGAACATAATACTGCAAATTTGGCAGCTACTAGACAATATTGCATAACTATCAAGTAAGTGCATAGCATACCTTCCATTTGTTCTTTGTCAGATTTTAGGGGAGGATGTCTTCCTAGATTTTCGATTTTTGTTGCCTTGAGGGCCTCTGATCTGAGCCTGATATAGAATCACATATATTAAACATAATAGGCTATACGAATAAAGGAAACTAAAGATTTTGTATGTTAAAAAGGCTTTTCCATTTGTGTTTGTGGGTACCATGGATGAGGTCACAATTTTCTTTATCAGAGTGGCACATACTAACTGAACTATCACACATGATGACTGTGTTGTTAGAAGAGTTTGAATAACCTAAGCATCAGCACCAGAATTGTACACCGGCCCAAAGTCCATTCCTTTGTTTATAATTTGAAGACAGGTCTGGCGTTGGAGTGATAAAGCTTAGTGCACCATTCAGTCTACACTCTAAATATGTGCCAGCAAAATGAAAGACGTTTGCAATGTCTGAATGCAGAAGTGAATGGCTGAAGGCAGTCCATAACTTTGACATGAGAAGAAGGATACCATACCTATCTTCATGTTCCACATGACGTGCTGCACATAACGCATCAGTGCTTTCCTTGATAACATAAAAAGAAAAGATGTCAGATAAGAACCCTCTGTGCATAACTTATATCTTACAAAACATTATGAAAATAATCAGCAAATATTCCAGAAACAACTTCCATCGACATTTTGAATCTTAATTTTAGTATGAAGCAGGGTAAATGGAAATGAGGATTTACGCACATGTTTCTGTTGAAATAATATGTAGCTATTGTACAATGTTTCTTATATAAGTTCCTTTGAGCTAGATGTTTTGTACATCCTATACAGGCTCCAACAGTTGCATAATCTTGAGCCTTGGGTTGTGTATGATCTTAATTTCAATAGGCTAGTATCTAACTAACACAATGAGGAAGAAACCATAAAATAAAAACAAAAAAAAAGGTGAAGTTTGCATTTAGAAACAGATTTGAGCATGCCATTGGCAATGAAAAAACTGGTCTTTTTGCTTCAGGGGAAAAACATGTCTTTCAGAAACACAACGATGTCTTACAAAATTGACATGACAAGATACATACCCTTGTGCACAAAGGACAAGCTCTGCTCAGAAGCCGCTCCCAAGTACGGGTGTTGTCGACAAAGCTGACAAGGGGGAAAAGTTGGAGGTAGAAGGTGATCTCATTCTGCACCTCGCGAAGCTGATCAGCCTGCTTCCCTCCCATACAGAAGCTGTGTAGGTAGCTGCTGTCGTGACAGGATGTGATGAGAACATACGCGTGCCGAAGCGTCTCCTCCAGCTGCTCCACTGGGTTCCTAGTCTCCATGTGGTGCATCAGCTGTGTTCCTTCGAGCTGCTGCAGAAGGTCCCCAATCATCCTTGCACGGCGTGCCAGTAGCTGGCAGGTCTCACGGTTCCTCTTAACCGTCTTTGCAGCCTCCACGATCATGGAGATGAGCCCATAGGCATCGACCCCAGCAAGCTGCGCAATGTTTGCCACCTGACCCACACCACTCCAGAGTGCCATGCTCTTTGGGATTGGTTTTCTCGAAGATTTACTTTAGAGATCCCAGAAGAAGGACAAGCTCGAAATGAAGCCAAAGTACCTGGGAGCTAAATTTTCTCAAAAGATAAGTTAAGCTACTGACTTTGACCGTGAACTGAACGCAAGGAGTTCAGAAAACGCGGTCTTGTACCAGTGATCAAGTCGCCATGCACTGAAAGTTCCACTCATGTGGTTTGAATGTCCACATCCAGCTGTTGACTTACACGAGTGGTACCAAATTATGTTGAAAGCAGAGACTGAACCAGAGGAAAGCAAAACAGGCAGGGCTCTCTTCTCCACGGAACATCTGGCACTCTGGCAGCTTGTCGAATTTCTACAAACGTGTGGGTCTCACTACAATATCCCAGCACCTTCTCATGGGACAGTTGACTGTTTCTTGCGGAATTTACACAAGCACCAGCGCTGCAGAGCCATTCCATCAACACTGACACAGTGACGCCAGCTGACTGCCAATCCAATTTGGGGTCGCTTGCAGGTTTTGCAGCGCACTGCGCACCATGCTAAACAGCCGGACAAGGGGCTCACCGTGCTGATGGGGTGGCGAGATGAGGGCGCCGCCTGCGTCCCGGCCATTCCAGGAGGTTGACGCTCGCAGCGGCATTTTCTCAAACACCTTCCACGCGGTCCGCCTTTCTGCCGGCACAGCACACAGGACAGAGACCATAAGAGCGCACCCCGCCGAAATCCAGTCCGGGCACGGCATTCATACCTCTCTCTCAACAAGGTTTGAGGGTTCATGGCGTCTCCGTGATCATACCTCGCGCTCTGCCATTTCGGGCAGCAGCTGCGCTACCTTGTTCGCTTTCTCGTTTTCGTCCCGGCTCCCGGCGGCGACTAGGCAGACAAGCGCGCGTGCGCCGTGACCTTGCTGCAGTGGCGCGGCCAGTATTTCTGGAGAGAGGAGCGAAGTAGGCGGCGGATCAGCGGCGCTCTGGCCAGCGAGCGGCTAGCCTATGATTGGCTGGAAATTGGAATAGGCCCACCACAGTCCACAACCACCACAACCGATTTTGACGGGAAGGAAAGTCAAAAAAAGCCCCCAAAGCCAACTTCCGCAATCCGCATGCTTTATTGTTGTAAAAAAAAAGGCATGCCTTTTTTCGGGGTTTTAAGACTGTTCAATGCAGTAATAAAGGGATTGTGCTAATAACACTACAAAATTATGAAAGTACTTCCTCCATCCCAAATTGTAAGACGTTTGACTTTTTTTTTTGACATCAAGTTGACCACTCGTCTTTTCAAAAAATTATGCAAAATATCACTTCTTTTGTCGTGGCTTGTTTTATTAATAAAAGTTCTTCAAAAATGACTTAAATTTGACTATGTTTGTACAAATTTTTTGAATAAGACGAGTGGTCAAACTTAGGGTAAAAAAAGTCAAACGTCTTATAATTTGGGACGGCGGAAGTATAACTTTGTCAATTTCAAGAAAACAAAAGGTAGCATTACATACTGTTGAGACAAATGTAAGGGTTGCGAAGGCAGACTACCATGAACAACAAGGGTGAACTAACAACCTGTATGATACGGAAATTTTTGAAGGAACCTTCGCCGGCGGAGGCAGGACAGGCGAAGGCTCATAGCCCGAGGCGGAGGACATCGTGATTAATGACGGGCGAAGGCACCCGAGCCCCAGGCAAAGACCCGGAGTTGACAACGGAGGCCATCTCGGGGCGGACCAACGACTAGACCAAGATGCCTTCGTGGATGGGTGGAGGCAGGCCTTCGCCGACCTGAGGAAGACAGTCGACGCGCACGTCCGGAACACCAAATGGGCCTCCAATGGCCAAGGGACAAGGCCCATAGAGCGAGGCGGTTGGAGAAGGAGGAGGACCGAGATGCCCCCAGAAGCTTACCTACGTGCCAGAATATCCCTAGAATATGCTTGTACGATCGGAGGGCATAATTGTAAAAGAACATCTACATGTATAGTAACCTATAAAAAGGGATGAGTGAACCCATGTAAAGGTTGTTGAACCCCATTTATGAAACCCTAAATCGGTGTGGGCCATATCTTCATTATCTCACATTGGCCTTGGCCTCCGGCGCTGGCCGGAGGTCCCTCAAGTTATTTCCCCTCTGCTGGGATCGGCATCCCACAACATTGGCGCCCACTATGTTATGTCGTCTACAAGCCCACAATGGCGGGAAAGAGAAAGATCTCCGCCCGCATCCAGGAAGGGGAGGAGGACTCCGCTGGCACTCAGAGAGGAGAGGAAGCTCCCGCGCGAGGAAGGCCTAGGCGTAGCGCTCGCAGTACCTATGCCAGCGCAGAACCCCAAGAGAATACAGAGGTCGAAGAGGAGGCAGCAGTCGCCGAGCAGCCGGTAGGCCATGGTGGGCAACCCCCCACACCGGAGCAGTTGCTCCAATAGCTACAAATCGACCTGCAAAATGCCCAGCAAGAAAGAGACAGACTAGCAACAACCTTCGCTACAATCCAAAGGGCAATGCAAATGTCCCAACAAGCATCAGAGGTCCATCAACAGCTGGCAATCCTGCAAGCCGAAATACAAAGCCTGCAGACTAACCAACCCTTGTCAAACAATTCCAATCAACCTCAACCAACAACCGAAAACCAACCCAACCCTTGGTCAAGCCCTGTCCCCCACCACTCCAAAGATCAATAGATCCCAAGTCCCCATTGTCTAAGGGACTTCAGAGCTCACCATGTCTGCCTTCCTACAAATCCATTACTTTACCAAAGTTCAACGACAAGATAGACCCAAGACAGTTCGTTAAGAGTTTTGAGGCAGCTATAGCCTCTACTGACAGAAACGACACGGTCTTGGCAAAATCCTTTGTCATTGCAGCAGAGAGAGACGCTCTCGCCTGGTATTCTATGTTAAGAACCAAGTCAGTATATTCCTAGGAGGACCTTCGCGACAAGATTATGGCAAACTTTAAAGAATTCTCAAGTGAGGCCCTCACGTCCTCAGACCTATTCTAGTGCAGGCATCAACAAGGGAAAACTCTGAGAGAATACTATCAAAAATTTGTTTAGCTCAAAGCAAGGGCACCGAACGTCCTAGAAGACGTAGACATTGAAGCAACAATCAAGGGTCTCCGCATCAGAGCCCTCGCAGGCCACCTGGCCAGAGAGAAGCCTTTGACCATTGACCAGTTATATAACGAGTTTGAAAATACTGCAGATCTAACAATGACCTCCGCAAAAGGCTGGAAGAACAAGCGCAGTACAAGCAAGCACAAAACACCAACAGATCTGCACCAAGAGATAACAGGGGATAGAACCAGTCACAGCGAGGACGAAACCAGCCAGTCTTCAATATAAGCAACCAAGGCAACAATCAGTATCCCCAACAGCCTTCGCAAGTCAGCCAAAGTAGCAGGCCACAGAGCTAGCAAGACAACAGAAGAGACAATCAAGGCAGAAACTGGAGTAGAAGTCAGAACCAAAAGCCGCGGAGGCAATACTATTTCTTTCATGGAGGGAACAAATGACATATCACCAGAGATTGTCCGGATGCTAAGGAAATACAAGAGAGGATAAAGAACAAGCAGAACCCATAGCCTACACCGCAACAACCAGTAAGAGAAATCAGCCAGACCTCTGCCACAGCCTGACACCAATAGCCCTATATACCAAAGTTTGAACTCCACTCAAATACACCCATCCACTCTAGCATCAGCATACTACCCCAACCTCCTACCTGCATGGCGACCCAACACCCAGCAACCGTTGCGATAGGGGCAGCCTAGCAGCCACCAAACCGAACCAAACTTGACATATGTGAACCCCAGGCCTCCGCACATCACCTACATAGAGACAAATCAACCCGCTCAAACAACGGGAAGGCATTTAGAAGCCTTACCACCACCTCTGCCAACACCACAAATAGCTGCCACGAAGAGTGAACCTCTGCCAGAAAACCAACTCAACCCTCACTCAGCCTTACCAACCATTGGCATGATTCTACCAATTGCCAGAGGCTTATCACTCGAGCTCTAGATGAAGAAGCAAAAAAGGACCACTACAGGCTAGTCAACAATGTAGCAATCCAAGGGCCAGTCTGATATACAGACTAGTCAAAAACGCCTCTAACATTTTCTGAGCAAAACCTCAACCTGGAGAGCTACCCCCACGCTACTGAGATGGTAATCAAGGCTAACATCGCAGCTTGGGAAATCAGCAGAATATTGATAGATTCGAGAAGCTCAGCGGACATTATCTTCGTAAATGCCTTCGATCAAATGAAGCTAAGCAGAAACCAATTGCAGCCTTCAGACTCACCACTGGTCGGTTCCGGAGGCAAGAGAATTGAAGCCTTAGGAAACATCTCCCTGTCTGTATCCATCGGAGACATACATAATGCGAGAACAGAGTACATAACCTTCGATGTCGTCGATCTCCACTACCCATACAACGCAATCTTTGGAAGGGTTTTTGCAAACAAGTTCAACATTGCCATACATACAGGATATCTCTGTATGAAAATGTCAGCCCTTCATGGCGTCATCGCTGTCTATGGTTGCTAGAAAGAAGCAAGAAACATAGAAAGAGCAATCCACAAATCTTAGAGAAACATCAACTCTGTCCAGGCAACAACCAACACTCTAGAGCCGCTAGACATGCCAAAAGGCAAAACCGATCTCAAGGAACAAGAAGAAACAAAATCAATCCCCCTTGAAGACGCACTCCCACATAGGAAGGTTGTCATCGCAGCCAACCTTCCTAGCGAAGAAGAAAAAGAACTCCTCGAAGTCCTCACCAAAAATAGGGATATCTTCACTTGGTCAGCCTCAGACCTACAAGGGGTCAGCAGAGATATCATACAACATTCTCTGGATATCAACCCAAGCATCAAACCAAAGAAACAAAGGCAGAGGAAAAATGTCGGAGGATAGGATCCTAGCAGCCAAAGAAGTCCAAAGGCTACTAGATGAGAAGGTCATAAGAGAAGTCAAGTATTCAGATTGGCTAGCAAATGTGGTCTTGGTCC